CTCACGTCCTGGTACACTACCCCTCACGTCCTGGTACACTACCCTTCACGTCCTGGTACACTACCCTTCACGTCCTGGTACACTGCCCTTCACGTCCTGGTACACTTCCCTTCACGTCCTGTTACACTACCCCTCACGTCCTGGTACACTACCCCTCACGTCCTGGTACACTACCCCTCACGTCCTGGTACACTACCCTCACGTCCTGGTACACTACCCCTCACGTCCTGGTACAGTACCCTCACGTCCTGGTACACTACCCCTCACGTCCTGGTACACTACCCCTCACGTCCTGGTACACTACCCTCACGTCCTGGTACACTACCCCTCACGTCCTGGTACACTACCCTCACGTCCTGGTACACTACCCCTCACGTCCTGGTACAGTACCCCTCACGTCCTGGTACACTAACCCTCACCACCTGGTACACTAACCCTCAACACCTGGTACACTACCCTCACGTCCTGGTACACTACCCTCACGTCCTGGTACACTAACCCTCACCACCTGGTACACTAACCCTCACGTCCTGGTACACTACCCTCACGTCCTGGTACACTACCCTCACGTCCTGGTACACTAACCCTCACCACCTGGTACACTAACCCTCACGTCCTGGTACACTACCCCTCACCACCTGGTACACTACCCCTCACGTCCTGGTACACTACCCTCACGTCCTGGTACACTACCCTCACGTCCTGGTACACTACCCTCACGTCCTGGTACACTACCCCTCACGTCCTGGTACACTACCCTTCACGTCCTGGTACACTACCCTCACGTCCTGGTACACTGCCCTTCACGTCCTGGTACACTTCCCTTCACGTCCTGTTACACTACCCCTCACGTCCTGGTACACTACCCTCACGTCCTGGTACACTACCCCTCACGACCTGGTACACTACCCTCACGTCCTGGTACACTACCCCTCACGTCCTGGTACAGTACCCTCACGTCCTGGTACACTACCCCTCACGTCCTGGTACACTACCCCTCACGTCCTGGTACACTACCCTCACGTCCTGGTACACTACCCCTCACGTCCTTGTACACTACCCTCACGTCCTGGTACACTACCCCTCACGTCCTGGTACAGTACCCCTCACGTCCTGGTACACTAACCCTCACCACCTGGTACACTAACCCTCACGTCCTGGTACACTACCCCTCACCACCTGGTACACTAACCCTCACGTCCTGGTACACTAACCCTCATCACCTGGTACACTAACCCTCACGTCCTGGTACACTACCCTCACGTCCTGGTACACTACCCTCACGTCCTGGTACACTACCCTCACGTCCTGGTACACTACCCTCACGTCCTGGTACACTACCCCTCACGTCCTGGTACACTACCCTCACGTCCTGGTACACTACCCTCACGTCCTGGTACACTACCCTCACGTCCTGGTACACTACCCCTCACGTCCTGGTACACTACCCTTCACGTCCTGGTACACTACCCTTCACGTCCTGGAACACTACCCTTCACGTCCTGGTACACTACCCTTCACGTCCTGTTACACTACCCCTCACGTCCTGGTACACTACCCCTCACGTCCTGGTACACTACCCCTCACGTCCTGGTACACTACCCTCACGTCCTGGTACACTACCCCTCACGTCCTGGTACACTACCCTCACGTCCTGGTACACTACCCCTCACGTCCTGGTACACTACCCTCACGTCCTGGTACACTACCCCTCACGTCCTGGTACACTACCCTCACGTCCTGGTACACTACCCCTCACGTCCTGGTACATTACCCTCACGTCCTGGTACACTACCCCTCACGTCCTGGTACAGTACCCCTCACGTCCTGGTACACTAACCCTCACCACCTGGTACACTAACCCTCACGTTCTGGTACACTACCCCTCACCACCTGGTACACTAACCCTCACGTCCTGGTACACTAACCCTCATCACCTGGTACACTAACCCTCACGTCCTGGTACACTACCCCTCACGTCCTGGTACACTACCCTCACGTCCTGGTACACTAACCCTCACCACCTGGTACACTAACCCTCACGTCCTGGTACACTACCCCTCACCACCTGGTACACTAACCCTCACGTCCTGGTACACTAACCCTCAACACCTGGTACACTACCCTCACGTCCTGGTACACTACCCTCACGTCCTGGTACACTAACCCTCACCACCTGGTACACTAACCCTCACGTCCTGGTACACTACCCTCACGTCCTGGTACACTACCCTCACGTCCTGGTACACTAACCCTCACCACCTGGTACACTAACCCTCACGTCCTGGTACACTACCCCTCACCACCTGATACACTAACCCTCACGTCCTGGTACACTAACCCTCACCACCTGGTACACTAACCCTCACGTCCTGGTACACTACCCCTCACGTCCTGGTACACTACCCTCACGTCCTGGTACACTACCCCTCACGTCCTGGTACACTAACCCTCACCACCTGCTACACTAACCCTCACGTCCTGGTACACTAACCCTCACCACCTGGTACACTAACCCTCACGTCCTGGTACAGTACCCCTTACGTCCTGGTACACTAACCCTCACCACCTGGTACACTACCCTCACGTCCTGGTACACTACCCTCACGTCCTGGTACACTAACCCTCACCACCTGGTACACTAACCCTCACGTCCTGGTACACTACCCTCACGTCCTGGTACACTAACCCTCACGTCCTGGTACACTAACCCTCACCACCTGGTACACTACCCTCACGTCCTGGTACACTACCCTCACGTCCTGGTACACTAACCCTCACCACCTGGTACACTAACCCTCACGTCCTGGTACACTACCCTCACGTCCTGGTACACTACCCTCACGTCCTGGTACACTAACCCTCACCACCTGGTACACTAACCCTCACGTCCTGGTACACTACCCCTCACCACCTGGTACACTAACCCTCACGTCCTGGTACACTAACCCTCACCACCTGGTACACTAACCCTCACGTCCTGGTACACTACCCCTCACGTCCTGGTACACTACCCTCACGTCCTGGTACACTACCCCTCACGTCCTGGTACACTAACCCTCACCACCTGGTACACTAACCCTCACGTCCTGGTACACTAACCCTCACGTCCTGGTACACTAACCCTCACCACCTGGTACACTAACCCTCACGTCCTGGTACACTAACCCTCACCACCTGGTACACTAACCCTCACGTCCTGGTACAAAAGAAATATGTATTTCTAAATGTTCCTTATAAAAGTTGGTCATACGAGGCTAAAGTTCAGGTATCAGATTACATAAGTAATGATTTCAGCGTCAAGTTCCGACCAGTCGGGGACGAAGCCCCAACTTAAGCGACCAGATTATGCCTAAGTTTTCCCCCCGCATTTAGCCAAAGAATATTAAGTCGAACAATATTTTACAGTTCACGTTCTGTAATGGTCCCCGGGGTAAAAAGAAAATGTATGCCAACTTTGTTTTAATGCCTTTCCTCTCCCACGACGAGTTGGCGGAGAAGAAAAGAACGGAAGGGGTAATTTTTTTGTGGGGGTGACTTCGTTGTTTGTGAGTGTGGTCGGAAACTGTCGCAGGTATGGCTGGACACGTCGCCTTCTGTGAACGTCTTCTTGTGTTTAAGACAATCTCCCCTCCGCTCGTCGTGACCAATGGCGCTAAATGTGTTCTCTTGGGAGGCAGGTAAAGGCTTTTTTTCGTCAGAAGTCTCCCACGGACATCATTGGGAGATGTCTCGTGGTCTGCAGATGTTTGACATTCCGCCAGAATCCTTGGCTTATAATGAGCTCATTGTCGGGGAAGGTTTTAGTCCTTCAGTGACCTGACTTCCATGAAGGAACTGAGTCTTAAGAATCCTACTTTTATTTCCGTAGGCCTACACTTAACTGTAATCTAGTAAAGTAAGCCTACACTTAACAGGTAAGCGTACAGTTAACTATAATCTACTAAGGTTAGCGTTAACAGTTAACTGTAATCTTGAAACGTAATTTTACAGTTAAGCGTAAACTATTAATTAAGTCCTGCAGTGAAGTGTAGGGTAATACTGTGATTCTATAGTGACTTGGCTGTCAAGAAGACGCCTTGACCTACGGTGAACTGTCACAGTATCCTGACTGTCAAGTAGGATCATTATAGGCTGCTGATGATAACTGCCAGGAGTCTAATAACCCACCAGGATAACAACAGTTCCTAGTGATAACTCCCAGTGGTCTAATAACCCACCATGATAACATTGCAAGGATAACCAAGCAACTTATCTTTGCCTCCCTAGACAAGGCTCGAACTGTTGAGAAAGCAACAGGAGGAAGTGAAAAAGGAAAGATCACTGCAGGGAAACCAACGAAGGTGATTCCCAGAAAGCGTTGAGGAGTGACCCTCGTTTCTCAGCCATTTAAGATGTCAGTGACACATCACCGGATCCGGGAGACGAACCCTGGATAATGGCTGCGTGGTGGCGAGGAGTCACCCCTTCTTACCGAGTTTCGCTAAGTTTTAAACGATGCATTTGTAACTAGGCTCCTGTGGACGGTATTTGTGGGGGAGCGGGGAGGAGTAGGGAGTGTATTGTGTATGTTTGGTGGTGTATGTTGAGCTGTGTGTACACGCCACCGTGTATTGTGTATGTCGGACCACACGGTCTTCTTTAAATAGTATTAATGGCCGTATTGTAGTGTGAAACAGCTCGTTCATACATGGCATTTAAAATTAACTCTTGAAATTTATTTGTATAATTTTTATTGTTCCTCTGAATGTTGCTGAAGGTCGCGTTTCCCTGAAGCTCTCTTCAACATCTGCGGAGGCACAGGGAACATAAATATATGGAAACAGATAGCATTGAAATTACAATTGCGCGATATATCATTGAAAACCATTTTGAGACAATGGAGTGACTAGAACCCGCGCTCTGATGAGTCCCAGACACCTCAGCGGAGGGTGGTTACTGACAGTGTTTGGTATATAGTGCTTCAGCTGTGTCTTAATTTACTATTCTCGATGTATTTATTAATTAGTTTGGTGTTGCTGGTCAGGAGGTCTAGGAGTGTGTTGCTGGTCAGGAGGTCCAGGAGTGTGTTGCTGGTCAGGAGGTCTAGGAGTGTGTTGCTGGTCAAGAGGTCTAGGAGTGTGTTGCTGGTCAGGAGGTCCAGGAGTGTGTTGCTGGTCAGGAGGTCTAGGAGTGTGTTGCTGGTCAGGAGGTCTAGGAGTGTGTTGCTGGTCAGGAGGTCTAGGAGTGTGTTGCTGGTCAGGAGGTCTAGGAGTGTGTTGCTGGTCAGGAGGTCTAGGAGTGTGTTGCTGGTCAGGAGGTCCAGGAGTGTGTTGCTGGTCAGGAGGTCTAGGAGTGTGTTGCTGGTCAGGAGGTCTAGGAGTGTGTTGCTGGTCAGGAGGTCCAGGAGTGTGTTGCTGGTCAGGAGGTCTAGGAGTGTGTTGCTGGTCAGGAGGTCTAGGAGTGTGTTGCTGGTCAGGAGGTCTAGGAGTGTGTTGCTGGTCAGGAGGTCCAGGAGTGTGTTGCTGGTCAGGAGGTCTAGGAGTGTGTTGCTGGTCAGGAGGTCTAGGAGTGTGTTGCTGGTCAGGAGGTCCAGGAGTGTGTTGCTGGTCAGGAGGTCTAGGGGTGTGTTGCTGGTCAGGAGGTCTAGGAGTGTGTTGCTGGTCAGGAGGTCTAGGAGTGTGTTGCTGGTCAGGAGGTCTAGGAGTGTGTTGCTGGTCAGGAGGTCTAGGAGTGTGTTGCTGGTCAGGAGGTCTAGGAGTGTGTTGCTGGTCAGGAGGTCCAGGAGTGTGTTGCTGGTCAGGAGGTCTAGGAGTGTGTTGCTGGTCAGGAGGTCTAGGAGTGTGTTGCTGGTCAGGAGGTCCAGGAGTGTGTTGCTGGTCAGAAGGTCCAGGAGTGTGTTGCTGGTCAGGAGGTCTAGGAGTGTGTTGCTGGTCAGGTCTAGGAGTGTGTTGCTGGTCAGGAGGTCCAGGAGTGTGTTGCTGGTCAGGAGGTCTAGAAGTGTGTTGCTGGTCAGGAGGTCCAGGAGTGTGTTGCTGGTCAGGAGGTCTAGGAGTGTGTTGCTGGTCAGGAGGTCTAGGAGTGTGTTGCTGGTCAGGAGGTCTAGGAGTGTGTTGCTGGTCAGGAGGTCCAGGAGTGTGTTGCTGGTCAGAAGGTCTAGGAGTGTGTTGCTGGTCAGGAGGTCTAGGAGTATGTTGCTGGTCAGGAGGTCTAGGAGTGTGTTGCTGGTCAGGAGGTCTAGGAGTGTGTTGCTGGTCAGGTCTAGGAGTGTGTTGCTGGTCAGGAGGTCCAGGAGTGTGTTGCTGGTCAGGAGGTCTAGGAGTGTGTTGCTGGTCAGGAGGTCCAGGAGTGTGTTGCTGGTCAGGAGGTCTAGGAGTGTGTTGCTGGTCAGGAGGTCTAGGAGTGTGTTGCTGGTCAGGAAGTCTAGGAGTATGTTGCTGGTCTGGAGGCCTAGGAGTGTGTTGCTGGTCAGGAGGTCTAGGAGTGTGTTGCTGGTCTGGAGGCCTAGGAGTGTGTTAATAAATGAATGCATCTTATCACAGCCTTGGTCTTTGTACCATGTTATAGGGTTATAGGGCTTGGGAAGGCTGTGTTGATCTTGCCTGCGTACTGGTGCTGAAGGCAGAGACCCGCCCCACGAGTTCCTGTGAAGGCTGTGACGACATTCATCTCCTTCAAGTCGTACTTGAAGGAGAGAGTCTCAAGGAGAAGAATGGTCGTGTTTAATCTTGTTCCTCACCCTCTTCCTTCTGGCTAGTTGATTTAAACCAGATTAATTATTTTATATATTTAATGCGTTCGTCACTCACCCATTGCAGGAGCATATTAAATATAAGTATATTGTGTATGTGAATGATAACAATGAGCTGTATGTCGTTGATTGATTTGTAAATGACGTCTTTAAACAGGATCTTAGAGGCTTGTGGCAGGTATTGCTATGGGTCTGTTGTGGGGGAGAGGAGACATGACCCTGATCTCCCAGATCAACTCCTGGAGTACGTGTTCTCTCTACTCACTTTGTCATTGCTCTCAAGTATGTGTTTAGATAGACACATAGTTGTCTCTCTTTCTCTCACTCTCTCTCTTTCTCACTTTCTCTCTCTCTTTCTCACTTTCTCTCTCTCTTTCTCTGTCTCTCTCGCCCTCCCTCTCTCTCTCTCTCTCTCTCTCTCTCTCTCTCTCTCTCACTTTCTCTCTCTCTTTCTCAATTTCTCTCTCTCGCCCTCTGTCTCTCTCGCCCTCTGTCTCTCTCTCTCTCTCTCTCTCTCTCTCTCTCTCTCTCTCTCTCTCTCTCTCTCTCTCTCTCTCTCTCTCTCTCTCTCTCTCTCTCTCTCTCTCTCTCTCTCTCTCTCTCTCTCTCTCTCTCTCTCTCTCTCTCTCTCTCTCTCTCTCTCTCTCTCTCTCTCTCTCTCTCTCTCTCTCTCTCTCTCTCTCTCTCTCTCTCTCTCTCTCTCTCTCTCTCTCTCTCTCTCTCTCTCTCTCTCTCTCTCTCTCTCTCTCTCTCTCTCTCTCTCTCTCTCTCTCTCTCTCTCTCTCTCTCTCTCTCTCTCTCTCTCTCTCTCTCTCTCTCTCTCTCTCTCTCTCTCTCTCTCTCTCTCTCTCTCTCTCTCTCTCTCTCTCTCTCTCTCTCTGTCTCTCTCTCTCTCTCTCACACACACACACACTAGGGGAAGGGAGTATGAACAAGTGGGGTGGGGGGTGTTGTGGGTGGGGGGGGTGGTGGTGGATATGTGGATCAATGTTGGATCCGATCCTTTGTCTCCAGCACGTGACGTTACTGCTCAATTAGGCACTGGATCCCACTGAAGCTGAACAATAAAACATTAATCATTCTTTTTAATTGTTCCTTCATGTTCACTAATAACGAGTCCAACAGAAATAATCAAAGGCTAATATTTAAAATATTATTCTGAAGTTGGATTGAACTTTATTCATCAATTTTTGTTATCTCCATGAATGATACGCAGAGACTATTTTTACAACATTATTCTAATCAACTTGATCATTATCACTCACGTGTGTAAACAATGAAGTTGTCGCCTGACCTGTTTACACACAATTTAAAAAAAATACTTTCCAGTCTGGCCAATGTAAACTCGATCACATGTTTTGAACTTTGTAAACACTCCAGGTATTAGAAACTGTTCTGTGAAAATATATCTTTTGTCGAAACCTACTACAGTGAGGAAGGGCTTGTGTTAAGTGAAGGAGAGTCCCTAAATATAAGTATAAGTGTAGTAAAAAGCAAATTTACGGATGTAAGTTACGTCCTTGGTGAAGGTGTTGTGTACAGTGTTGTGGACGTTGTGTAGGAGGTTGTGATGACAGGTGTGGGTGATGACAGGTGTGGCAGAGATCCTCACCTGGCGGCCATCACTTGACGTTGTTATTATGCTCCCATGGGACACTCAGGGACTCCCAGGGACTCCCCAGGGACTCCCCAGGGACTCCCAGGGACTCCCCAGGGACTCCCAGGGACTCCCCAGGGACTCCCAGGGACTCCCCAGGGACTCCCAGGGACTCCCAGAGACTCTCAGAGACTCCCAGGGACTCCCAGAGACTCCAAGGGACTCCCAGAGACTCCCAGGGACTCCCAGAGACTCCCAGGGACTCTCAGAGACTCCCAGGGACTCTCCAGGTACTCCCAGAGACTCCCAGAGACTCCCCAGGGACTCCCAGGGACTCCCCAGGGACTCCCAGGGACTCCCAGGGACTCCCAGGGACTCCCCAGGGACTCCCCAGGGACTCCCAGGGACTCCCCAGGGACTCCCAGGGACTCCCCAGGGACTCCCAGGGACTCCCCAGGGACTCCCAGGGACTCCCCAGGGACTCCCCAGGGACTCCCAGGGACTCCCCAGGGACTCCCAGGGACTCCCCAGGGACTCCCAGGGACTCCCCAGGGACTCCCAGAGACTCACCAGAGACTCCCAGAGACTCCCAGGGACTCCCAGAGACTCCCAGGGACTCCCAGAGACTCCCAGGGACTCCCAGAGACTCCCAGGGACTCCCAGAGACTCCCCAGGGACTCCCAGAGACTCCCCGAGACTCCCCAGGGACTCCCAGGGACTCCCAAGGGACTCCCAGGGACTCCCCAGGGACTCCCAGAGACTCCCCAGAGACTCCCAGGGACTCCCAGAGACTCCCCAGGGACTTCCCATAATCTCCCAGGGCCTCCCCAGGGACTCTTAGAGACTCCCCAGGGACTCTCAGGGACTCTCCAGGGACTCCCACGAACTCCTAGAGACTTCCCAGAGACTTCTAGGGACTCCCAGGGACTACCTAGAGACTCCCAGGGACTCCCAGGGACTCTCCAAGGACTCCCAGAGAATCCTAGGGACTCCCATGGGTTCCTAGGGGCTCCTATAGGGACTCCCAGGGCTCCTAGGGACTCCCAGAGACTCTCCAAGGACTCCCAGGGACTACCCAAGAAACAGTCGAGGGTGCCAAAGACTGCCAATATAAAGCACTTAATAGACATCAACATAAAATGAGTCTCTCCTTCACCTTCATAAATCTTTTAACTTATTCGGAATCTTAAATGCAACATTACTCATACAAGTTTGCCACGTTGAGTGCAACATGAAGGTTGTGCAACAGTGTGGCAGGGGGGGTTGGGGGGGGAGTGGGGGTGGGGGGTGGGGGGGGGGGTGCTGGGATCACAACACCTCAGTCCGCCGTGAGTGTTGCCATTATAAAAATGGTTTGTTGTTCTGAAGACTCGCATTAATTTCATAAATATAGATAAATTCTCAATAACACCTGAGGATTACCAGTACCTGCGGCTTGTTGTAATATGAGTCTGAAAAACTTAAATCCGACAGAGTGATAGCCGACATTCATTCATTCTGTGGACGAGACAATCGGAATGATAGCCGACAGAGTGTATCGTGATCCAGCCTGTGCTCCTCTTGACGTACCAGAAAATATTCTGAGGAAACTACTCCAAGCTTGTACTAAAGAGGCACCCTTCTTGAGCCCGGATGGGCACATGTATAAGCAAGTAGATGGGGTCGCCATGGGTTCTCCCTAGGTGTCCTGTTTGCAAACTTCTACATGGGTACCATCGAGCAAAAAGTCTTAGTCGACATGAACTTGAAACCGGCCATATACTGCAGGTATGTTGACGACATTTTTACACAGGTACCTGATGTCAGACATCTGCAGGAGCTGAAGGAGGCATTTGAGCAGAGTTCCGTGCTGCGTTTCACTTACGAGATGGAAAAGGATGGGAAGCTGCCCTTTCTAGATGTAACAGTCATGGAAAAGGGCGGAGGTTTCCACACTGCAGTCTACACTAAGGAAACAAACATAGGAATGTGCCTAAATGCCAACAGCGACTGCCCAGACAGGTACAAGAGGAGTGTTGTTAATGCATATGTCGACCGTGCTCTCAGCCACAGCTCAGAATGGAAGCAAGTCGACGAAGAACTCTGTAGGGTAAGGCAGGTCCTAGTCAGTAACGGCTTCTCCAATGGTTTCATCGAAGACATCATAAGAAGGAAAGTGAAAAGCCATGCAACCTCTGAAGAGACAACTAACACAACACCTATACCCCCTATTAGACTATTTTACAGGAACTTCTTTTCCACAGCTCATAAAACGGAGGAAAGGGTCTTGAAAGATATTGTTAATAGAAACGTTATCCCTACAGACAAAAATCAGAGGATACAACTGACGATTTACTATAAAACCAGAAAAACGGCCAGCCTACTCATGAGAAACTCTCCAGACACAAAACAGAACGCTTTAAAAGAGACTAACGTCGTCTATGCCTTCAAATGCCCACTTGGGGACTGTAAGCTCCAAAAAACCCAGTATATAGGCAAGACAACAACATCTCTTTCTAGGCGTTTAACGATGCATAAGCAACAGGGCTCCATTAAGGAACATATAATCTCTTCCCACAACCAAACCATCGCCAGAGAAATCCTAGTAAACAACACAGAAATCATCGATAGATACAGCGATAGCAGGCGGCTTGACGTTTGCGAGGCACTACACATCAAGAAGTCAACACCAGCAATCAACAGCCAATTATTGCACAACTATATTCTACCCACCTCATGACTCAGCTCCAATATAGAAGCATCAAGAAATATGGACCAATAGGCTTTCTACAAACACTTCTATTCAATATCCATTGTTTCGTGTTCTGTCTTGTGTTGATGAAATTAATACCCTATTAATACTCTTGTTCTGTCTTGTGTTGATGAAATTAATACCCTATTAATACCACATTTTGTTCTGTCTTGTGTTAATGCCACATCACCCCTTCCACCTCACTCAAATGTAGATATAAAATCGGAGATACGTAAGTTCTATTCAGTTGTGTATTTGTGAACTAAAGTCTTTGAAAATGTAATAAGTTTTACGAAACGCGCCCGTGTCGCGTCAGACTAGAAATAAAAATTAATTTTGGAGAATTGATTTTTGATTTACCTCCAACAGTGAAGCGTAATGTACGAAAGATTGAGAAAATTCGTGTTAGAATTATTAATCTTACTTTTTTGGTCATATTTAATAATATATATATATATATATATATATATATATATATATATATATATATATATATATAAGCGAACAAACCTGAATGGAGAAAGCTAATGGAGAAATTTGTGCGTAAAAAGCTAGTGGAACATCTGGAGCGAAGGAACTTTGTGTCACAACACCAACATGGTTTCAGGGATGGCAAGTCATGCCTCACAGCATTAATTGAATTCCACGACCAGGCAACAAGAATCAGACAAGAAAGAGAGGGGTGGGCAGACTGCATATTTTTTGATTGCCAGAAAGATTTTGACACAGTGCCACACCAGAGGCTAGTGAGAAACATGGAAATGCAGGTACGAGTGAAAGGAAAGGTACTCCATTGGATAAGGGAGTACCTAATTAACAGAAGGAAGCAAGTCACTGTGAGGGGTGAGGTCTCAGATTGGCGAGACGTCACCAGTGGAGTCCCGCAGGGTTCAGTCCTTTGTCCCATACTGTTTCTTATATATGTAAATGATCTTCCAGAGGGAAGGCGTGACACATTCTGTGAAGACAAAGCCTAGATACTGGCGTTATCCCTGACATACTAAAACCAGCAGAGATAGCACCACTCCATAAAGGAGGAAATAAGGCAGAGGCAAAAAATTACAGACCGATAGCACTAACATCGCACATCATAAATTTTTTTGAGAGAGTGCTAAGAAGTAAGATCACAAAATACATGGAATCACAGCATCTCCATAACCCCGGACAACATGGTTTCAGAACAGGGCGCTCTTGCCTGTCGCAGTTGCTGGACCACTATGATATGGCATTAGATGCTATGGAAGACAAACAAAACGCTGATGTAATATACACAGATTTCGCAAAAGTCTTCAACAAATGTGACCATGGTGTTATTGCACATAAAATGCGTTCCAAAGGAATTACCGGAAAAATAGGCAGATGGATCTACAAATTCCTGACTAACAGAACCCAATGTGTAATTGTCAACAAAATAAAATCCAGCCCATCAACCGTGAAGAGCTCAGTCCCCCAGGGTACTGTGCTTGCTCCAGTACTTTTTCTCATCCTCATATCGGACATAGACAAGAACACAACCTATAGCACTGTATCATCCTTTGCAGATGACACTAGGATCTTCATGAGAGTTGGCAACATAGAGGACACGGCAAACCTCCAATCAGATGTTGATCAGGTCTTTCAATGGGCTACAGAAAATAATATGGTGTTTAACGAAGATAAGTTCCAGCTCATGCGCTATGGAAAAAATGAAAATATAAAAACGGAAACCACGTACAAAACTCAGTCAAATCATAACATAGAACGAAAAGGCAATGTAAAGGATCTGGGTGTACTCATGTCGGAAGACCTTACCTTTAAAGAACACAATAAAGTAGCCGTCACAACTGCAAGAAAAATGACAGGTTGGATAACAAGAACTTTTCACACTTGAGATGCTATACCGATGATGATACTTTTCAAAACGCTTGTGCTCTCTAGAGTGGAGTACTGCTGCAAAATGACAGCCCCTTTTAAAGCTGGAGAAATTGCTGACATGGAGAGCGTGCAGAGATCCTTTACTAACACCATCCACTCAGTAAAACATCTAAACTATTGGGACCGACTTAACAAGTACTCAGCCACAGGGACGTTAGAAAGTACTTTTTCAATGTCAGTGTAGTTAACGGATGGAATGCATTAGGCAGTGATGTGGTGGAGGCTGACTCCATACACAGTTTCAAATGTAGATATGATAGACCCCAGTAGGTTCAGGAATCTGTACACCAGTTGATTGACAGTTGAGAGGCGGGACCAAAGAGCCAAAGCTCAACCTCCGCAAGCACAAATAGGTTAGTACACACACACACACACACACACACACACACACACACACACACACACACACACACACACACACACACACACACACACACACACACACACACACACACACATACGCATACATCACGAATAAATACGTCAGGATGAGAAGGGATGCAGAAGGGCAATACGAAAATGACATAGCAAGCAATGCAGACTCAACCTAAATTAGTGCACAGCCACATCAGGAGAAAAACAACAGATAGAGAACAGGTAATGAAACTGAGGTTTAGGGGCAGACAGATTCACTACAAACGACAAGGAAGTTTGCGAGGAACTCAATATGAAATTCCAGGAGGTCTTCACATTAGAGCAAGGAGCAATTTCAGAGATAAGAGAGGGAATAGTTAACCAGGCGCCACTAGAAGAATTTGGGATTACCAGCGGAGATGTAAGGAAGCTTTTGCTAGGGTTGGATGTGACAAAGGCTATAGGCCGGTCGGCCGAGCGGTCGGAGGGAGCCGGTCGGCCGAGCGGACAGCACGCTGGACTTGTGATCCTGTGGTCCCGGGTTCGATCCCGGGCGCCGGCGAGAAACAATGGACAGAGTTTCTTTCACCCTATGACCCTGTTACCTAGCAATAAAATAGGTACCTGGGTGTTAGTCATCTGTCACGGGCTGCTTCCTGGGGGTGGAGGCCTGGTCGAGGACCGGGCCGCGGGGACACTAAGGCCCCGAAATCATCTCAAGATAACCTCTCAAGATAGGCCCAGATGGAATCTCCCCTTGGATACTAAATGAAGGAGCAGAAGCACTGTGCCTGCCACTCTCCATAGTGTATAACAAATCACTCGCAACAGGTGAACTGTCAAAAATTTGAAAGACGGCTAATGTCGTCCCGTCTCCTGTCTATCCCGAAGGTGGATAGACAGGAGGCACTGAACTACAGGCCAGTGGCCCTAACCTGCATACCATGCAAGTTGATGGAGAAGATTGTGCGAAAAACGCAGTCATCATTTGGTGAAAAACGTCACAGTCATCATTTGGTGATTGGTGAAAAACGTCACAGTGGAACATCTGAGGCGAAGGAACTTTGTAACGCAACACCAGCATGGGTTCAGGGATGGGCTCGGTATTGTGTGGTGTTATGGTGTGATAGTCCTCTCTAACACC